CCAGGCTGCTGGTGGGACCAAATCTACTACACATGTGAGTCAAATACTTCAGTGAACAAAAGGGCCCCTTTGCTGGGTGCCTTCCAGCAGCAGAAGCAGAAGTTCCTAAAACCCCAGCCAGAGAGGCTTTTTATGGTGGCCACAAAGACACATTACCTTGTAGGACCTCTGACTCTCAAGCCCCCACCCTCAAGCCTTTCATTCCTCATTCACCCCAGGGCCAGAGTCCCTGTAAACTAAATTCTCACAAGGCCCCAAATCCAGTCAGCTCTGAAGCCTAGCTTTTCCATTCTACCCCACCCCTTCCACCCACACAGCTGAGGTCACCCAGGCCCAGCCTCTTTTGCAACTTTCCCAAGTCTGTGCATAAGAGGGAGAGGAGGAAAACTAAGAAGAAAGTGGCTTGGCCTCAACAAACTCTGTTTTGCTCCCAAAGCTTTTTTCCTGTGACCCGGCTGAGACTGTTGCTCTGAGAGGAGACCCCCCAGACTCCGAGAGAACTCCTGCCTGCCCTCGGAGGCTGAATGCTAAGCAGACACAGCTGTAAGTGCCCTGGAAGTTTTATTGGTTTTTCTGTCTATCTATCCCAGCAGCTTCCAGATGTATTTGTGTTTTGGTGGGGAGGAGTAGAGGCAGGGGATGCAAGGATGAAGCTTCGAATCTGGCAGCTGAAGGCCTGGATCCAGCCCAAAGACCCCCACTCGGGAGAAACTCCCAGGGCATGGCAGCGAGCCAGGCAGAAAAGACGCCCCGCCCAGCCTAGGGAGCTGGGGCCCCGCTCAGGGCTCTGCACAGGCCGTCAGTCTCGGGGAAGGACCATAAAGCTGCCGGCACAGTCAGAGGAAGGATAGCGAGAAATCGGAGCCCTTTAGGAGGGCTGAGTCCAGCCAGCATCAGGAGTCCCCTTGACACATGAGCAGGGTACCTTCTAGGATGCAACCATCTTATCTAAAGGGTCTCGCCAGGGAAGGGGGAACCCCTAGAGTAGGAAAGTGTCCCTCTTGTTCTAAATTGTAAGTATGTCTCCTAGCACAGCTCTGCAATGCAAGGCGAGCCAAGTAACAGAGTCAGACAGACCTCAGTTCTAGTCTCAGCTTGCCTCAGGAATCCATTGGACTGTGATAGCATTTTGTAAATTGCAGAGTGCCCTATAAGTGCTAGGCATTATGATTAATAAAAGTAACTGATTTGGACTTACCAATCAATCCTCCACCACACAAACCCCATAGTGATAGTAACTTGTCTGTATCCTCAGACATACATAGTGCTGATGCATAGTAGGCATGCAGTACGTGTGCTGGCTGGATGGATGGATGATGGAATAATGCAGATGGATG